TCAGTGGCCCGGGGACAGCCAAAACCCAATGCCCCTGCCGGCCGCCACTGCCGCCCAGCCCGGGAAGATGCGAGGCTTGCTCAGCGGCCTGGGGATGGCTACAAACCAATGCCCCCGCCGCCTGCCGCACGGCCGGGGAAGATGCGAGGCTGGCTCAGCGCCCTGGGGACGGCCAAAAACCAATGCCCCTGCCGGCCGCCACTGCCGCCCAGCCCGGGGAGACGCGAGGCAGGCTCAGCGCCCCGGGGACGGCTACAAACAAATGTCCCCGCCACTTGCTGCCTGGCCCGGGAAAAAACAAGGCTGGCTCAGCGGCCCGGGGACGGCTACAAACCAATGCCCCCGCCGCCTGCCGCACGGCCCGGGAAGATGCAAGGCTGGCTCAGTGGCCCGGGGACGGCCAAAACCCAATGCCCCTGCCGGCCGCCACTGCCGCCCAGCCCGGGAAGATGCGAGGCTTGCTCAGCGGCCTGGGGATGGCTACAAACCAATGCCCCCGCCGCCTGCCGCACGGCCGGGGAAGATGCGAGGCTGGCTCAGCGCCCCGGGGACGGCCAAAAACCAATGCCCCTGCCGGCCGCCACTGCCGCCCAGCCCGGGGAGGCGCGAGGCAGGCTCAGCGCCCCGGGGACGGCCAGAAACCAATATCCCCGCCATCTGCCGCCCGGGGAGACACGAGGCCGGCTCAGCGGCCCGGGGACGGCTACAAACCAATGCCCCTGCCGCCCAGCTCGGGAAGATGCGAAGTCAGCTCAGCGGCCCGGGGACGGCCAAAAACCAATGCCTCTGCCGCCCGCCACTGCCGCCTAGCCCGGGAAGACGCGAGGCTGGCCCAGCGGCCCGGGGAGGGGCAGGAACCGATGCCCCCGCCGGCTGCTGCCCCCGCTGGGCCTACCGCCTGGCCCGGGGAAGGGCAGGAACCAATGCCCCTGCCGGCCGCTGGCCCCGCCAGGCCTGCTGCCCAGCCCAGGGAGACACGAGGCCGGCTCGGCTGCCCCTCCGCCTGGTGCAGGTAAGCCCCCTCCCTCCTCCCCACTCACCCTCCATCTCCGGGTCTGCTCCTGCTTGGCCCACTAGGGCCGCAGCTTGCGGGAGGGCTGGCCCTTTCAACGGAGGCTCTGCTGGGCCGCTCCCAGCATCGATCCTGGGGCTTCCCCGCGCGGCTCTCTGGCCACATGCACCTCGGACTGGGCCAGCCCCGGAAAGGCCCTTCCTGGCCACCAGGGGGCAGGGCATCTGGCTGCAGGGCCAATCGGGAGCAAGGGGCAAATCTGCATGTGTGTGAGAGAGAGAGAGATAGAGAGAAGGGAAGCACAAGTGCCTCTCTGTCTCTGTCTGTCTCTCTCTCTATGAAAATGGCGGAGAAGGCTCCGGAGCCGCAGGAGGTGGCTCAAAGAGCCGCATGCGGCTCCGGAGCCGCGGGTTGCCGACCCGTGACCTATTGGTATTCCTTGTAATTTTTTTTTATCCAAATAGTAAACTAAGAACAGATTGAGTAGGTGCTGCCACCTTTTGAGACACACTCTAATCCAATGGTTCTCAACCTGTGGGTCGGGACCCCATTTGGGGTCGAACGACCATTTCACGGGGGTCGCCAAACAACGCAGTCCACCATTTTTCCCCCCTTTTCCTTAGCTGTGCTACTCCCTTTTATTCTATTGGCTTTTGAAAGCCAATAGAATAGACTATCTTGAATAGAGATTAATTCTATTGGGTTTCAAAAGCCAATAGGAATTGTCCAGGCTGTCTCTGCCCTGCTGAGCCCGCCAAAAGTCCCTTTCTGCAAACGGTGCTGCACCAGTTGAGTAGTCCTTGACTTACGACTGGTGGAGTAGTCCTCGACTTATGACCGGTTGGGGGGTCGCGGCATTAAAAAGGTTGAGAACCACTGCTCTAATCCTTAGATAATGACATTAAATTTTTTAAGTAAGACTTTAGTGAGTGGCATCTCAGGCACAATGACAAAATTAACAGAGAAACAAAAGCAAGCCAAACATTAATATGATTTATGAATCTGATTTTACTCAATCAATTCCGCTTTTCTTATACTCAGTCCTATCCAATCTGATGAAGACTTCTGTGAAATCTGAAAAATTATTTATTATGGCATTTTAGCTTAAAAAAGATATTGCCAAACAATGTATTTTAAGCAACATGAACAATTATGCATTTTTAAAAAATTATTCCCTAAACACACACATAAAATCATATTAAAATAAAGGAGTCCTCCATTTATGGTTTGCTGCTTAGAGGGCTCAATGAAGACCTTCCATTTGTTCTTTCCCTGTTCGCTGCTCTTTTTTGCTTACATAAAACATGATTAACACAGAAATAAAGCAGGAAAAAACTGGATTCATCAAGTCCAGTAAGTAAAATGAATTAAAGGAACTACTCATCATGTATAGATGGGTGGGGGCAGAACGGGCAGGGTTGAGGCCACAGATTTAAAGAACCGTTAGACAGTCTTTCCAATCTACAAGTGCTTGGCACTTCTGAAAGAACACTTTGTGTCTTCCAAATGTGTTCATTAAAGGGATTTACTTCAGGCAACCTCATCTGAGCATCTTTACTCAATATAACCAATAGAATTTTTTTTCTTTTAAAAAAACCATCTACATCTAGTTAAGAAGGACTGGTCTGGGGAACATGTTTGGTTTTTTTTTCTGCAACAGACTAAGCATCTTTTATTATATAAAAGTTTAGTTGATTACGGTCTATTTAACAAAGAGCTTCCACATATCTGATGGTGTGGACCATATCCCCAAAACATTTATGCTATAATAAATTAGTTATTTTTCTTTGCTTTGAAATGTCACAAGATCTTTTGTTTCTTAAACAGCAGTGTGTCTTAGATACTCCAGAGAGATGGCTGAAGCAAAGATGACTTGGGGGGGGGGAGGGATAGAATGGTTTAATGAATACTTTTGTGGAATGTTGATTCAGTTACATTTCCTTTTCTTTTCTCTTATCTCCTGCTTTCCTTTTCTTTTACTTCTTGGGGGGGGGGTTCTGTGCTTTGCATTAGCATTACATATTCTCTGAGAAGGATTTGCAAAAGGAACTTTTGGAACCTTAGAAACTAAGACAAATAGATATACACTATATAGCCACAATGCTTGCCTTATTTTTAAATATTTCTGCTCTTGTCCCCCACTTTTTGGTACTACATCTTTCAAGAAATTGAAAATTCCTTTGGGTTCATTGATCATTGTGTTCTAATAAAGATATGATGGACTAAAATCCATACATTTGTAAGTACAAACATATAAAGTTGTAGAGATCTATATGGAGAGCTAGTTTGGTGTAGTGATTAAGGCATCAGGTTACAAAAAAAGGAGATAGCAAGTTTTAGTCCTACCTTAGGCAGGACACCACCTGGGTGATCTGGGGCCAATCACTATCTCAGCCCTATAAAGAAGATAATGGCAAATCACTTTGGAAAATCATTGCCGAGAAAACTGCAGGGACTTGTCTAGGTAATTATCAGGAGTCAAACACTGTAGTATATACACAAAAAAAGAGACTCATAGGTTACTGAAGGGTATATCTGCCAACTTAGAATTATGGTAGTAAATGTATTAAATGTAGTATGATGGTAAATGTATTAATCCTTTAACAAGATAGCATATTACAACATTTCAACATTGACTACCATACTGATCCTCCCACAACAGGCAGCGAGGGGAAAAAAGTATGAGTTAGCAATTGCTTACATTTTAAAAACCATAATTGACAGACTCAAATGGGGGAACCACACAATGCCAGGCTGCTGCCTATTTAGTCCAAATTATATTGTGTACCATCTTCCCATCTTCAGACCCCACCATAAATCAGTTTCCCTAAGTCACACATTTTTAACTAATCTGATTAGTCTGATTTGAAATACCGTAGTTAACCCATACACTGATGTGAAATAGGAGTTGTAATCGGCAGAGGTTTTCTGTAATTTTTACTTCTTTAAATATACCTCAGATATCCACTATGAGGATGGTCATTAGGTACCCCAATATGTTCCACTACACAGAGAACAGCCAACAGCGGTTCACAGAGTGTGTAACAGCCTAGATACATCCCTCTCTCCAGGTTTGTAAAGTAACCGCAATGCAAACGGGCTCCCAGGATGGAATCAACCGCTTCAAAACATTCTAACTTCCAGGAAGTCATCCCCAAATAAAGACGCTCAAGCCAAGTTCGTGTATAGTATAACTTGGATCTTACACTCATATTGCTCTGGGGAAAGGGGCGAGATGCTTGTTAGCAAACCTATTTACAGAACCGGTCCTCAGATATGTTTTGTCTTTCCGTTCTTTTGGGTTTCCCCACTGTTCATTTGGTATGATGTAAAATCTTTTAGAGGAGTTTACGCCATCAATGCAGCCAATGCCCCGAAACGCCTTCTGGACCGAGAGTGTGATATACATACAGTACAAACCACTCAAAGGTGGTTTGGTCCCCGAGACTTCGTGCAGGTTGGTTCTTCCTAAAGCTGCGTTCTCCGCTTCTCCCGCCGCAGGACGCCGGCAGCTTCGCACCCTCTAACCCAGGGGTAGTCAACCTTGGCTCTTTTATGACTCGTGGACTTCAACTCCCAGAATTCCTGAGCCAGCACAGCTGGCTCAGGAATTCTGGGAATTGAAGTCCACGAGTCATAAAAGAGCCAAGGTTGACTACCCCTGCTCTAACCAAAAGCTCCTGAAGATGACACCGGAATACACGCGCTGGTTCGCCCTTTTAGATGCCCTCAGGTCGCCCCGTGCCCCTCGCTTCAGAAACCTTCCCTAAAGCCCCCCCCCCCCCAAATTCAAACCGAAGCAATCCCCCAAAGCAATGCCGCCTCGCAAAAGGAGCGGGTGGTAGTTTCTCCGCAGCTGTCATTTTCGCTTCTATTGACCAGCGCGCGCGCTTTCTCTTTTCCCCTTCCCTTTCCCCTTGGCTCTTGGGCATCCCAAGTCCTTTCTCGACCCGCCCGCGGTTGCTTGCTCGCCTTTGCCTCAACTCACCGCAAGTAGCTGCCCGTCGAGTGCTGGTTGTAATGCTCCGGCTGCGTGTGCCAAAACAGCATCTTGCCCTTCGCTCGCCAGCCAACCCCGACCCCAAGTCAAGTCCCTCCGGCCGGCCGGGCTGCGGCACCTCGAGGCGCTCAGTCAAGTCAGTCAAGTCAGTCAGGAGCGAGGCAGCGACGGCAACAAGCACTCGACGGCCGGCGCCGCTCGCCGCGCTTTTATTGGTCAGCCGCGTGAGCCCGCTGGGCGGCCGCTCCCAGCGCTGAGGTCAGGCGCGAGTTTCTTGGCTTTCCCGGGGTTTTTTTTTTTTTTTTTTCCTCCGCCCCGTCGCGACTGGGCGCCGGTCCTTGGGTTGTCGCCCGCGGCATCGGTGGAAAAGCTGAGGAGCCACCGAAGCAGATTGGAGTGGGGAGACGAGCACCGCGCAGAAATAGAGCGGGAGGCGGGCGCCTCTTCCCCTGAACACCTCCCCCTCGGTTGGCGCCCCCGTTGCGGGGCTTGACATTCGGTGGCCGACGAGAGGGCGCTGAGAAGCGTTACGGCTTCGTCTCCCTTTGGTGGCACTTTGCAGCCTCCCCGGAGTTGAGCCGAGGGAGGGGGCAGCTCCTCTGTGGGTTCTGAAGGGGTGGTGAGGATTACCTGTGACCCCTGCGGAAGAGGGTCTCCGTGCGAATATGTAATATGGAGTAAGATGACCCTGCCGTGAAAAACGCTCTCTGTGGGCTTTAATTATTCTGGGAAAGGACCTCTTTTTAGTCAGGCGGGGCTAATTTTATGTTCTATGAATTCAGCTTTGAGGGGAACTTAAGGGGCTAAAGCTGTGCCTCAGTTTACCCAATTTCAGTTTGAAGGGCTGCATACTGCATATGTTCCCCCCCCCCCCCAACCACAGGAATACCTCCAATGGCCTGTTAGCTTTCCTGAAGTAAATACAGCTTCAGTGACCAAAGGGACTGCCTTCTTTGCACATTGCATGCCTATGTGAGACACTGAAAACTGATTTCTGAGATTGGGGTTTTGTGGTTAATTTTTAAGAGCTTCAGTCTGCCCTCAAGTCTCCCAAACAGGAAGCCAAAGATAAGATAACCTAGTCCCATGCAACTCCCCAAAGGCAGACGTTGTAGGATCTACTGAACCCATAAATTAGCCAGCCACATTTTAATTTAGCCTGTTTGTGTGAAACCACCCTATGTGGCTGCTGTATGGTTCAGAGTGCTTTGAAAACAACCTGGGTGAATTGGAAAAACCATGGTTAAGGTAATCAGATAAGAGAGTCAAACAGGCTAAATTAGGAGGGAAGATGTAGAGCTCCTAGAAACCCTGAGGAAAAACAGAATGTCTTACAACATACACCATTTAGAGATCATTTGAATAAGTGATTTAGCATTAGTTAAGCATAAATAAATTTGGGCAGAATGGTTTGAAGTAAGACTGCTGGGGGCGGGGGGGGGAGTTATCTAGTTCTTTCCTGCTCTTTGTGCTCCTTTTCCATTGCAAAGAAAGATTGACGTGAATTAATTGGTACTTTTCAGTTCAAACAATTACTTTGTATTATTTGGTCTTCAAAGGATGTTCAGTGGCTATAAATTGAATTGACATTGGATTCTCAATCTGTTACCATTCCAATATTAAGCATAGATATGTATTATCACAATATATTTAAAATTCCCTTAAAAATTTTTTAGCAGGAGCATTAAAATTGCATTATATCAATCAACATTTTTCTAGTCTACATTGTAGTTACTACTTTTGGTGACCTAACTGTCCATTTTTCATAAGAAGTATATTTATATTGTTGATTGTCAAACCTATTAAAGGAAAACACTGCAAAAATGAAAATCCTTTTTTTCTGAGATCAACATATTTAAAAGGAGGGAAATAAGCATTGACTGAAAAATATTACACAGCAGCAAAGTCTTTGAAGTATCCTTTAGTTATACTTATCCTATAGTTTTACTCACATTTAATCTACATTTTCTTCTTAAATTAACAAAATTACATTTCTACCAATATCTACATAATCTACATTGGAATATGGCATCCCATGGTAGATTCTGTTGGGCACAATGAGAAATGAAAATGAACCAAGCCACACAGTTTCAGTAGGAGTACTAAAGCTTGCTTACGCTGCATAAGCCGGGTACCCTTGCTTACTAATTCAGTTGACTGATTAAACCTCATAATGGACAGAACAATAATTATTCAGGATAGTATAGATTAATAAATAATTGCATAATATTGTCCCTGTATAATAAAACAATAATTTCATAGAGATCTACTTCCTTTTCTTATGAAGAATAGTAGTTTTTCATGAATTCCTTTTGGCTTTGTCAATACTGTTATATCTTAAATGAATTTTATGAATGGTCATTTGTTCTGAACTGAGAGGGCACTTAAGGTTTTCTCTGCTCTGTTCATCTGAATCAAAGGTAGAAGGAGCAAGTTGTGTTCCAGTTAGCATTTTCTTGAATAGGACAATTAACAGCAACAGAAGTTCTCTATACGCTATCAAGAATAGAGATATTAAGAAAAGGGACTACTTGTATTTTACATCACATGTTCAGTTCTTTTTTATATGGCATTATAATTGTGGACCTCAAATATTACAGTATGTTTTCTCTTCAAAACCATATTGCGAAAAAGAAAAGGGTTTTTTTTTATTTTGGAGTGCCACTAAGACAGTCTTTCATAGAAGATATATTGATGATAACTATCATTTATTGCATGCAAACAAGCTATTACTTTGATTTCCAACATAAGTGCCATATAATGTTTGCATTTATGGTACTTAACCAATAGTTGACAGAACTTGCAGGATGAAAAATCATTACCTTAAAGATAATTTTTTTCTGAAGAATTCCCTAAAGTCATGGCTGGAATAAATGTAGAACAGACATGGAAAATTGTAGATTAGTGTATCACATATATGAAGATGAAAATTGTTGCTAAGATGTTTGTTTTTAATAAGCACTGTTAACTCTTTTTATATCTATTTGGAACAGATGAAGATAATATCTATTATCAGATCAAAAGTCCAATTGAGGAGGACTTGATGAACAAAAATACTGACTGAAATATTAGTGAAGTTACATTTAGGGTTTTTTTTTCAAAAGATATAAAACAGTACAATTCTATATACAATAATATAGAAGAAAGTCTAAGGCCAGATATTTTTAAGGAATAGACATTATATATTTATATAATCCCTTCTTTATAGCAAATTGGGATGGATGAGATTTAAGGGGCAGATGCCTTCCAGTTTGGTACTATTTCTTTTATTTATTGTGCCATTTGTTGAGGAGTTCCAAGAAATGAAACAAGTGAAGAGATATTTGGATTAATGCAACCAGAATGCAACTAGACAGAAATAAAATCCCACATCTCAACATATTTAGTGTGAAACATAATTTCTTCTCCACTCATACTGAATGTGGCTCCCCCTTTTACAATTTGTGAATTTGGGTGCATAAAAAAAATCAAGAAAGAAGGAATATAATATGAAAACCGGAAAAACAGCATACATAACTGAGGCTGATGAAAAGAAAAATGCACATCATACAATAGGTACATCTGCCCTCCTGCAGCAATACATGGTAGAGATGTCAGGTCTTCATAACTCTATGGAAGACCAATAGGGTGGTACCATCAGGGAACTTTGGAATCTCTTGTTTCAAAGAATAGGCAGCATAACAAAGAAGGCATCCTCCTAGATCCCATTAGATGGCATTGTTTCATAGAGGAACCCTGTGGGTGACCACCCTATGCAATCTTCTGGGACAGGCAGAGATAACAAGGGCTCTATTATATTTCACAAATAATGCAACAAGAATAGAGCAAATACTGTTCTATTATTATCTTCCTATTTTGGTGTAGCTGCTTGGTAATTACTGCCACCATCAATAATATCCCATGGGGTGACTTTATCTGGCATCCTCCCCTTTAATATTTTGGCAAAATCTTGGTAACTGGATATCTTTAATTTATTACAATATATCAATGTATCTCTGTCTCTTTGAGTGGAAGTTTCTTGATCATCTTACTAAGTGCCAATTAATGCTATATGGAGGTAGCTACCCATTAACCTGGCAAAGAAAGAATGTGCAGATATTCTGTGCTTGTAAAATTGTGCAACCCTTCCTCTTTCCCAACATGTTACAAAAGTAGTCCAGCAGTTCTATTTCCACCAATCAAGCTAGGAGGTAATAAACTTACAGTGTTGCTACAATTATACAATAAAATGCTCTAAAGGAGAAGAATTAGTTGCAGATCACAGGATGTAATGGATCTGCTTATAATATAGGCGGTACTGCTGCACAGAGATTCCAAGATGCATCAAACATATAATAACTAAATTTACATGAACAAAGCATCAAAAACAATAAATACCTGCATACAAAAAAAGAATAACCTTAACATAGTACTAATAAATATCTATCATATAGGATCTACATAACAATTGTTTTCAGTCAGAAGTTCCTTTCTAATTTAATTTTGCCTAACTTGCTTCTTGATTTTGTAGAAATGTCAAGTTTAAATCTGATGCTGAATTAAGATAGACTTCAATTCCCACTTCCCTCCATTCCAACACAACTTCTTGATTGTCTCTCTTCATTTGAGATGTCCCCTTGAGATGTCCCTTTTCTTTTTACCTGAACAAGGAGGAGTTGGAGAAATCTCTTCCTGCTTTCATGAACTTGTCCATGTCACAGTCCCTGCTTTGGGACAGAGGCCATTTATTGTGATTCTGGGATAAGAGGCTGAGAGAGGTTACACTTGCAACATAACCATCTCTAGAAAACATTGGGATTACTTCCTTAGCAGTAACATCACAACACCCAAAATAAATGCCTTCAGTGCCCTGATACATATAATATATATATATATATTTAATAAAAATGATGGTCATGGCAAAACATTGATTATTAGATTGCCTAAGGGCTGTCATGGCAGAAAACATTCTTGTTTTCACTGCTTTTATATGATAAGCCAAATACAAGGTTTTTCATTTATGCAAGCGTGCATTTATACTCCTCTGTTCTATTCTATATATTGGATATATATATCTCCAATTTCCTATATTGAATGTTGTATATTTCTTTTTTTTAATTAAAAGTTTTAAAAAATTTATTACAATATAAACCCCCCCACCCCTCTCTCCTTCCCCTCCTCCCCCACTTCCCAGAGCTGATTACAGGGTAATAAATAAACAAACATAATCTAACTAACATAAACCAACTATACTATCAATCAAAACCATAACACACTTTAACTCCTTCTCAAAACAAATATTAACAAATTAAAATAAAAATAATAATATAATTAAAACTATTAATAATTATCTAAACTCTACTCAAAAGCAAGATAATACTTTTCAGTTTCATATTTCTTTTGAATATAATCAATCCATCTTCTCCAAACCATAATGTATCTTTCTTGTGAATGGTCCTTCAAGTAGGCGGAGATTTTCGCCATTTCTGCTAAATTAGACACCTTAAGTATCCATTCTTCCAAAGTAGGCAGTGAGTTTTTCTTCCAATATTGCCCCATCAATAATCTTGCAGCTGTTATAAGATTCAACATCAAATTAATTTCTTTAACATCAAAATCTACAATAATACCCAGCAAAAATAATTGCTGAGTAAATTTTATCTTTCTCTTAAAAATCTTTTGAATATTCCACCAAATCTTAATCCAAAAAGCTTTAATATCTCTACAAGTCCACCAGATATGAAAATAAGTTGCATCTAAATTTCCACATCTCCAACA